CACCATTCTCTTTGTTTTTGAATCACTTGATTTCTTTGAGTATTGAAGAAGTTTTGAACGTTTAAAGTTTACCTAGTTTCCGGCGAGTTTTCAAGTTTTCACTCGGACCTGTCAACTTTGAGACTATTTTCCGGCAATCTCCGGCAACCATTGGGCTTCGAAATAGGTATAATCTTATTCTACACTTTCCTATCTTCATTTTGATTTATTATGGGTCGAATTTGGTTAAGAAACGATTGAGTTACGAAGCTTTGAAAATTGCCCAAATTTCCGACCAAGAGTTCCAGGACACTTAACAGAGTTTTTAACGGAAGGACTAAAATGATGGATGATAGACAAATTGAGGGACCACTTTTATTGATTTGGAATCTCAGGGACCAAAGTGATGTGTTATGTAAATCTCATGGATCATTTTGACGATTTACTTTTTTTCAATTGATTTTTATTCGTTTTTCTTCTTCCAAGTTTTCTGATCCTTTAGATCAGAGCATACAAATCTAACCGTTGAAAACCAACGGCTGATGTCTCACGCAATTAAAAAGTAAAAACCAACGACAGTACATAAAAGCGCAACGGCCGAATCTGCGGCCACCGCGAGACTCCAATTTCAACCGCCGCAAATGGCCCAGTATACTCCAACCTTAAACCCTCCCAAAGCCCTAATCCTCAAGCGCTCAAATCCCGATCCCTCTTTCTCTTCCTTCTCAACATTCACAACCCCAAAACCCAAATCCATTAACTTCCCAAAATTCTCCATGTCAGTCACGGCGGCCCAAAACCAGCAGCACTACCAGGAACCGCCGTCCTTGGAAGCTCTAATCAACGGTGCTCGCAAAGAAGAGGTGCTTGGCGTTATCAAGAGTTCGTCGTTTCACTGCCTCTCCGAAACCAACCTCCACCTCACAGTTCCTGGCCTCAAATCCAAAATTAGAGGCAAGGTATGAAAAACCCAAATAAAAAAAGATGACTTTTTTTTATTTTTGCTTCATTTATTTTTCATATATTTGTTCAATGTCTGTAGTGGATTTTGCTTCACATATAACTTGGGATTTTGTTTCTCAAGAAACCAACTTTTGGGTTTTTTTTTTAATTTAAATGGGAATAGGGGTAATTCTCTGTTTTACAGGTTAGAGATGTTTATGACAATGGGGATTATCTAGTTATGGTTACGACGGATAGGCAGAGTGCATTTGACAGAATTCTTGCTTCCATTCCCTTCAAAGGACAGGTGTGTTCCCAGTTCATACCCCAAAGGAAGTAAATTTCTTATATGTGAGTTTTCTGTATTGCGTTTAGTTGAATTTGTTACGGAAAAAGAGTCATCACACAATGTGTTATCGAAAATACAGTAGTCAATACATGGTTGATGGATAACTAGTAGTAGTATCTGAAATTTCATTGTTTCTATGATATTTAGGTCCTTAATGAGACAAGTTTATGGTGGTTTGACAAAACTCAACACATAACTTCGAACGCAGTTGTTTCGGCTCCAGATGAAAATGTAACAATTGCAAAGAAATGTTCTGTTTTTCCCGTTGAGTTTGTGGGTAAGATATTATATTCATTGTGTTTAGCACTTTTTAAATTAGCTATTTATGCATCTGCCTAGTCTTTCATCTTCATAATTATGGAGGAAAAGTATGATAGCTTAAACCTTTTTCTTTACTTCTTCTCATAATTATGAAGGAAAGTATTTTAATTAATACTGCAGATAAAATTTTGGTGATGAATTGGCTTGCTTTTTTTCTTTCCTTGTCACGTAAAGTTAGTAGTTGTTGAGTCAAAAATTTCATACGTTCATTAAGTTATAAAGTCGTTGCACTACTTTTGCTGCTAATTTTGTAGTCAGAGGTTTTGTGACGGGAAGTACTGATACGTCATTATGGACGGTCTACAAAAATGGTGCTCGAAATTACTGTGGCAATGTACTCCCAGATGGTGCGCTCTCTGATTATTAATTATTATTATTTTTTTTAAAATTTAAAACAAAATTTTGTCTCATTGTTTATTCATGTTCTAGGCTTGGTAAAAAGCCAAAAGCTTCCTGCAAATATACTCACACCGACAACTAAGGCTGCAGATCATGATGTTCCCGTTACCCCAGATGAGGTTTGCTCTCTTTGATATCATTTGTTATCTAACTCGGACAAAAAGGGAAGGAGAAAAGAGTATCGTAATACTAATATCGGATAATCAATTTGTGTTGTAGATGGAACTAGGTCATTATGTTGTGCTGGTTTTTCTAGTGGGTTTGAATGTATTAATATAGCTTCATGCAATTTTCTCGCAGATAATTGAACGCGGACTAATGACTCAAGCTGAGTATGATGAAGTAAGCAGGAAAGCACTAAGCCTGTTTGAGTACGGACAGGTAAATCGCCTTTCTTCTTATCGTCTTACTGGAATGAACCTCTTAAAATGTAATATCTGAAAACATATTGAGACAAGAGCCAGCCTTAAAAAAATTCTTTTGATCAGTTTGAAAAGTTTTTAATTTATTTCCCCTCTTGTTTCAGTTTTTTTTTTTTTTTTTTTTTTTCTGGTTCCTTATTGATCATGTAGGGTCACAACTCTTTGTTGTATGCTTTGATCTTGGTCTTTAATTTTGTATTTGGTGTACTGCTTCCTTTACCAAGGATTTTGTGTGTGTGTGAGTGTAAGTTTATCGAGCATAAACATTGAGCAATCCAAATAAAATTGGCCAAGGTAACCAGCTGTATGTTTTTGTGGGGAATTATCATAATTGAGTTCAGATACTGACCGAATCAAGTTCTTGACTATCAGCCAGTCTTACCAGTTATACCATTTACTTCATGCTGCAGCATGTGGCATTGGAACATGGCTTGATATTGGTAGACACAAAATATGAATTCGGAAAGGGCCAGGATGGTTCCATTCTTTTGATTGATGAGGTTTAGCTTTCTCTTCTGTAAAGTTTAATAGTTCTCTCGGACTCATACTACACTTTTTCAAAGAATGTAATGAGAGTTGATTTCCACTCCTTTCCATTGTAGGTGCATACACCTGATTCAAGTAGATATTGGATTGCACATACTTATGAGGAGCGATTTCAGAATGGTCTTGAACCTGAAAATGTTGATAAAGTATGCAATGCATTGATACTGTTATGTTCTATTCGCACTTTTAATCTTATGATCTTATAGACAAATTACATTTTGTCTGATGTTTATATCTTTAATTTTTAGGAGTTCTTGAGGTTGTGGTTCAAAGATCACTGCAATCCTTACGAAGATGAGGTAGGCACATGAAGTTCAATTATATTTCTTTTTTGCGTTTGCATGTGAAAATTTCAAATCTCACTGTGATGATTCAAAAATTTAGGTCCTCCCTGATGCTCCTGAGGAACTTGTTTGTGAACTAGCTTGGCGGTATGTCACTTCTTTACTGTGCCTTATCATAATTTATCATATACTCTATTATAATGCCTTCTACATGCTTCATGGATGTAAACAAGGAGTGTTAATCCGGCCAGCCGATCCAGCAGGTCAGGAGCACCTGTAGGCTTGATTCGAGCCACTTAAATCCCAAAATACTTGATAAAAACTACTAATTGACTTGTTAGAAATTTGTACTTGGTAATGCATTTTATGATGGAATATCATCTTAATTGAAAGACATCTGATTTTCCTACCTTGTTGATGAGGGGTTTGTTAGGGTATTCTGTCTAAGCAAAACATGGACGGGTATCTGACAGTAGTACTAGTATGTATTGTCTTTTAATCCTTCGTCCCTCTGCTCATATTGTGATTAGGAATGTTTCGCTGATGTCAATTCATCCTTCGTTCCCTCCTCCCTCGCTTTCCTGGGTTTCTCTTCCTCCTCCCCTATCTGTCTTCCCCTTGTATCTAAATAGAATTACCCTTGCCCTTATTGTGTTATTGTTTGATAAGCTCCGTACAGAAGTGTCGAAGTTTCAAGATTTTTGTACCTACTACTACTACTACTACTACTACTACTACTAAAACTGATATTATTCTTTGATGACAGATACATTTTCCTGTACGAGACAATAACAAAATCAAAATTCAAGTTGCCCTCCACAGAGGTAAAAAATAAACATACTTAATTTAACATGTTACGTGTATTTTGTAGAGATTATTGTAACATAATTTTTGACTTTTTCATTCAGGAACCAATACATGATCGGATATCACGAAATGTTGCGCGGGCGTTGTCATCTCTGGCTCGATAACTTGGTAGTGTGAAGAAGAACAAATTTTGTACTGGAATTGAGTTAACCCTTCCTTTCCACCCGAAAGAGGAAAGTATCCGAAATGATTGGATGCAGTTTGTTGTGCTGTTTCATGGATATTGTCTCTAGGGTTAGGGGTTTAACCAGTGGCTTGTATCCATCAATAGGCTAGGTACTACTGGGTATAATTAAGCCAAAAGCATTTTAGGCTGCCATAAGCTTTGCTTCGAGTGTGCTTGCGTACTTACATGTCATGAGTCCTTATATTATTGGTTCCTCCGTTACAATAACTACCAAATTAACCTTTGTTTTTTCTGACCTAGTACAAAATCGACATTATGCGTAAGTAGCCTTTTACCACAATGGTGGAAAGGCGTTGAGCCCCGTTAAGCATGTTCATATCTAACTTGAGAGACTTAAATAGACTTAACGGAGACTTATCCAAATTTTTTCACCACAAGCTTATCTTCCGATTACCCTATTATCATGGAGATCATTAATCTAATTTAGCCTTTTATATTTGTTTTTGAACGATTATCTCTCAAATTAGATATGAACATGGTTATTTCTTTCCCAAACTTGATATGAACACAAGTTTTAGAGGTAATTAAGTTTCTAATTCCATCTATTTAAAGCATTCATTATGGTTGAGGAACAAAGATTAATTTTGGGCATGAATTCTAACAGACTTCACCATGATGGTTTTAAATCCGATTTTTTCACCAAAAATGCTATCTTTCGATTATCCTATTAGCATCGGGACCATTAATCCAATTTAGCCAATATAAAAAGTAAAGTACCTATTTTAATTCACATATAATTAAATTCACACACAAAGGGCACGTGAACGCTTCTGGGCCAAATTTGCAGATGAATAGGTAACCGAATGAGCAATAATGTTTCATTCATACAATTCACAAGCACCAATTGGCTTAACTAGCATTCAAATGCAGGACTACTAGGAAATTTCTTGCACGACAGAAAAGCTCACGACGACTTTGTAATTTCCACAAAAACACAAGCATTCAAAATTTGGTCATCCTCTTGACGAACTAAGGACCATTTATTGTTCTTTGTTTCAGTGTGTGACGGCAATTATGAGTGCATTCACCAAGAAAGGGGAGGACAAAGAGAATGTTGCTGAAGAAGCTTGACAGAACCTAAGATCTTGGAAAGTGCACTTGCAGGAAAGAACTTATTCGGAGGAGAAACAATTGGCTTTGTGTACATAGCTGCCGGCAATCATTGTTCTTCGTTACTGAAACCTAATTGATACTGAGACCCTGCCACTGCTCAACGCTTGGTTTGGAAGAGTTCGCGAGGCTCCTGTTCTCAAACAATGCCTGGCCCCTCAAGAAATATTGCTGGAGCACAACAGAGGCTTTCAGCCTTTCACAAGATCTTGACAGCACCATCAAGTTGAAGAGTTCGATGGCATCTCTCACTGGTCCCTGCATATTTTTATCACCAATTCATTCACAAAACTGGTTATGTACGAGGAATAACATGGGCATCAGCTCAGTTCAGGATAGCATAAACAAATAAATACGTAAAATATGAGTAAAATGTTTGCATTTCAGCAGCGTTTTAAAGAGATAATAGCAGGGATAATTAACCTTAAAGTTCATGAACAATGAGAAAACTGGAGAGACTAGGATCAATGTTTCTCTCCCACTTTAAGTAACGAAGAACAATCGCTACTTTGAGTTTGATTCACCCACAAACAGTCAAAGAAGCATTATACTGTCCCTTGAGCCTTCACAGGAAGCCTAAGTTACCATGCAGAAATGTTTACCATAGTTAGTAAATTCGCATATAATACGCATATTATAAACATATTTGTATAATTAGGTTTGAATGAATAAATAAATATTAAAATTAAAAAATACTCGCCGAATTTTTCAAGGTATTATTTTAGCAAAGTTGCCGAATAATACAGGTATTCACGCACTATACCTGTTTCGTATTTTACTAACTATGCTGTTTACAATTATAGTCACACCCTGAAGGCTTGAACAAGGGCAGAAGTCTCTTCATCCATCTCGACTTTGTCCTCCTCCATCATCTTCAGGATGTCAGAGGCTGATCTCTGAGCAGAAAGGTGCATTCTAAGCAGTGATTTGTATAATGTCGAACTTGCAAAACCGAATGAACGTATAACTCTGATATACCAATTTGCATACTCAATGTTCCCATGCTTTTCGAAATAATCGGCAAAGGCCATTACAGTTTCCTCCGATGGCCTCCAATGACAATCTTGCAACATACAAAACCCTTTTTTCATCGCTTCAACGGCTTTGTCCATGTTCTGGCTTTTCAACCGTCCTTCCATAAGGATCTCCCATGTCTTATAATTTGGTTGACCGCCTCTCTCCAATGTGTGTAGATGCAATGCCTCAGCTTTCTCAGTCATTCCATTCCGCATATATGCACCAAGAAGGACGTTGGAGACTCGAATATCATAACTAAAGCAATTGGACTCCCACTCCATAAAAATCCTCTCGGCTTCCACAGTATCACCTAACTTCACCAAGCACAACAGTATCTGCATGTAATTGGTACATGGAATTCTCCCAGCTACCGCTTTACTAGCTTTCCAAAGTCGCAGAACGTCCTCTTTACTATTTAAAGACGCATATTGTGTAATGAGGAAAGAATAACCAAGGCGATTGCAATTAGACAGCTTCTTTTCAGCACTTCTCAGGGCGAAACTGGCTTTCTCAACAAGCCCTGCCTTCATATAGATACCGGCTAAAGTAGACAGAGTGCTCCATCCAACCTCGACGTTGTTATCATTCAACATTTCTTTATAAACCATCTCCACCGAACCAAAACCGGATAGCTTTGCATTCGCATTCATCCAAAGGTTATAGGATAAAACAGTTAAGGGTATCTTGTTTTTCTTCATCTGCTGTACAACAAGGGGCACTTTCCCATATTCAGATGTGGACATATACAGCTTCATCATCTCGTTATACGGGTTAGGGTTCACAATGAGCCCCAACCCGCCAAGCTTCAGCATGAGCGCCTCGGCTTTCTCTGTGTCCCTCTCCACAACATAACCATGAAGAAGGGGGAGACAAGCAGTTTTTTTTGAAGCAGTGCTAAGTTGCTCAAAATACTCTTCAGCTTCCAACATACCATTCACATTTATGATTGACTGCAACCTCATTGCATGATCACCCGGCGACATTCGAAAATCGCTTCGGGTTTCCATCCATGTTAGCACCTGATATCATCATAAACACAATCTACAAATTCAAAACTTACCCCATTCAACCATGGATTATGCAACTCTTCTCCTTCTAAATTGACAAAGTTTCCAAATTTTCATGTAAAGATGTAGGACTTTAACTTTAAAATATCTGCAGAGAGTCCTGATTTACAAACTTCAAGAACATTTTGGGCCAACATGATAAAAATTGATACCTGGAGAGCGTGGTTGAAGCGCTTAGACTTCAGGAGCTGAACGGAGACGCAGCGGAGTTCGAGAACGGAGACCCTGTGGCCTCCGTCGACCCAATTCTGAATCACTGTGGTTGCGCTCCGGTCCGGTTTTCTCAGCCCCATAATCTTGCTCTGAAGCTCGTCGTCTCTGCGCCTATCCGCCGACGATAACGAAGACGAAGACGAAGAGCAGACAGATGACAGCGGCCTCCGCCTTGCCGAGCTTGCAAAATGCGGGACCCATCGTCTCATGCCGGCGAAGATTTCACGGCCAGCCATGGAAGTCCAAGACGGCGGAATTCGCAGCAAGTCCTCCAAGTCTCCGCTGGGGTTTAAGGAAGGGCAAGGACTGTACTTGGTGGGTCCCAGTCCCAGAATATGTTACCCCAAACGGCACCGTTTTCGTGGTTTTAAAGACATAAACCCCCCCGGGCACGCAAAGTGTTGAAACAAAACCCCGTCGGTGGCGGGTGAAATTACCCGAATTGGACCGTCGCTCTCGCTTTCCGATTCTTCTTCTTCTAGCAAATTGCAAACAAAAATCCCAAAATTAAAGTATTTGGAGCTTCATCGATCACAGTAGTCGATCCAAACGCCTCTCGAAAATGCGAAGCTCAAGCTTCCTCGGCCTGGTGAGCGACGCGAACTCGACCACTGATTCTGTTATTCTTCATGAATTTTGCTTTATTCGTAGAGTTTATATATGTATTGGAAATGCAGCTTCGGAGGCGGCTGGTGTCGTCGGTGGCGGCAGAATCGCCCATTGATGAAGCAGATTGGACCCGGAGCCTCTCCTCGCTCAGTGAGGCATTTTATCGAACACCTGGTGAGCTTCATCAACTTCCTGTTCTTACCCCATTGTTTTGTGGTTAGGAGAACTCCCAATCGGTCTTAATTTCTATGATCTTTGAACTTAGGTTCGAGCTCCGGCGGGTCGGTGGTTGGCTTGGCTAGCACATTGGGAATTCGTTATTTCCATGCCTCAGGTTTTCGCACATTCTCTCTCTGTCTCTCTCTCTCTAGCAGGGAGTAGGAAACAGAATCTTTTGGGTTTATGGCTTAAAGTTGATATCTTTGCAGGGTTTTGCCGAGCAGCTGAACGAGATTATTATGAGACTCTTGGTGTTTCGAAAAATGCAAGCCGAGATGAGATTAAAAAAGCATTTCGCATGGTCAGTTTTATTTTCAGTTGCATGTATGTAGTTCTATAAAGGATTTTGGGTGTAATTTTGAGGTCTGGATTGAATAGAAGGAATGCCGTGGCTAAAGCTATTGCATTTCATATAGTATTCACCATATACATTGTAGGAACAATGTTGATAATTTAATATGTTAATTCAGCATCTGGTTCAGTTTAAAATGCATTTGCTTGTTCGAAAGAAAAATGTTCTGGTTGGATGTGGAGTCGGAGCAGCTTTTTCGACACAAATGAATATTGTACGAAGTATTAAGTTGGAATGTAAAATGTGCAATAATGCTGGTCATGTCATTTCCCATTTCGTGTTTCTTTCCACTCTTTTTATCTGATTATATAGTAACTTGTTGCGTAATTCTCCATGATAAAAGTATCTTAATTTTTTACACTATTATGAATGCAGCTTGCCAAGAAATACCATCCAGATGCAAATAGGGACAATCCTTCTTCTAAAAGAAAATTTCAAGAGATAAGAGATGCCTATGAGGTTTGACTTGTGGCCGGGTTGCATTTTACCCAAATTCTGTTTCTGAATGAATTTTTCAAACTGGTCACCCTGCTTAGTAATCCCATAATTACCAAAACTTGTAATATTTTTTAAGCAATCATAAATTTTGATGTGTAGGATTTCCTTTAATCTTATTTTTTCATTGTTAAATCCAGACTTTGCAAGATCCTGAAAAGAGGGCGCAATATGACAGGGTAATAACTCTGTCTCTCTGTCTCTCTGTCTCTCTGTCTCTCTGTCTCTCTGTCTCTCTGTCTCTGTCTCTCTCTCTCTCTCTCTCACACACACACATACCCACACAAACACTACACATTGTTTTAGCTAGTTTTTGTAGTAAAAAAAGTTGAATCTGTTTAGTGAGTACTCATCTTCGATTATTCTCCCTTTTTTCAGTTTTTATTTTTCTTGTACATGGAAGAAAGTGGTGTGCATGTTGTGCTTTTTCCATCAAAAGTTTTATAGCTTCTTTGCAATAAAAATCCTTAATCCCATATAGTGTTTTTAGATCTAACTCAGTTGTTCTTTCTGTCCAATGGAGAAGCGTTCAAGTGGGTCAGAAAACGTAGGATATACAGCTGGACGTGCAGACGGGTTTAGGTATGAGAATCAGAGTCACGGTACTGCTGGTGCAGAGGGGTTTAGATATGGTTTTGAAACTAATTTTTCCAGTTCATTCCATAAAATATTCCAAGAGGTATGTCAGTGCCTGTTCTATCATCAAACTTAATTGCAGCTTGTTGAAACCGTTAATCTTCGTTACTCTGATAGACACTTGATACTGCAGATCTTTGAACATGAGTTTGATCAAGTTGGATCAAATATCCAGGTAAGCTTGGTTCGCTTATGGTCACACTTCTCATGTGGTTCACCTTCTGTATTTCCAAGATGAAATGATTAATGTTTTTAATGTGTTTCATAGGTGGAGTTGTCACTTTCTTTCTCTGAAGCTGTTAAAGGATGCACAAAGCATCTCTCTGTCAATTCACATGTTCCCTGTGATTCTTGCCGTGAGTAGATTAAATATTTTAAGATCCGATTGTGGGTTTTAATTGCAAATCTCTAAATATAATATAGATCTAAAAAATTATCATTGTGTCTTTTGAAAACTTTTGACCATAAAGATGACCACTATTTATTTACTCTTTTATATGGAAGGTTGGTAATGGATTTCTTTTATACTCTTTTTCTTTAATTTAATTTTATATTATTTGGTTGTATAGAAATTAAGAATCATGGCTAGTGTTTAGCATAAATTCTGTTGCTTGGTCGTAGAAGGAACCACTTTTTTGGACTCTGATATTTCCCATTATGTGTTACTATGATATTTCACGATGGGAAGTGTGTTGGAATTTCTCTTTCTTGTTTGGTCTGGGCTCAGATTCCAGGTTACAGGGTCTAGAATATGTGTCCCAGTTCAGGGGTCTGGCTGGACATCGGGGTTTGTGTCTGAAATCCAGGGTTTATGTTTGGGATGTTGTGTTCAGTTTATGAGGTTTAGGTTTGAGTTTATCGTGTGGGATTTGTGCATAAGGTCTGATTTTTGCGCTCTAGGGTCCACGGCTTGGGCATCTATGGACTTGGGAGTCAACTGTTAGGGTTTCGAGGTTTGGGTGTGATCAGAGTCCAACGTTCTGGCTATTAAAGTCCCATTATCTTTGAATTCTGGATTAACAGCTATCTTGGTCTACTTTAAGATAAGATTTTGAACTTCTACAATCCATTTTAAAGTTCCCTCCCCAAATCACAAATCTGATCTTAAGTTCCCAAACAAAGTACACTAGCGACATGCTATCATCACCTAGGATAGAAAAGAACATGTGTGAAAGAAGAAATGACTGTAAACTAGAATCATTATGGCAGAAAGATTGTATTCGGATGGTATTAAGCAAAACCCTGCTATCAGGAGAGTGACGAATAACTCCGCTCTTTAATCGGAATGACAAACAATAATTCAAACAAGATTATTGTCGAAAAGTTTGCACACATCTTTGGATTCATAGTTTTGCATTGTTTGTTTTCATGATCAATTAGTCCCTTGTTATAAGTAATTTCTCTAGTACCTTATATTTCATAATGCAGATGGGCATGGCTATCCACTAAATGCCAAGACCAAAGTTTGTCCTACTTGTAGAGGTATTGGGAGAGTAAGTCTTAAAGATCTACGCTGATTATGATTATGGGAATATTTCTTCTAAAAGGAGTCAGTTTGAGCAGATGATTATTTTATATGTTTCATTCTACTAGTGCGACAAATTATTAACTACAATAGTCTGTTCTGACGTTTAATCTCCTACCAGGTTACAATTCCTCCATTCACATCAACATGCAGTACGTGTAAAGGATCCGGCCAAATAATCAAGGTTTAACTTGATTCCCAATGAGGAGTATTTTGGTAAATTGATTGATGCAAATAATATTGTTGGTGTTTAATTTATCTACCTGTCGCAGGAATATTGCTTGTCATGCAGAGGAGTAGGGATTGTTGAAGGTGTTAGACAGGTTGAAGTTTCAATACCAGCAGGTTGGTAATAGATCGTTTGATTTGATTAACGGGGTTGAACAATGGGATTTCTGATCAGTATACTCTCCCATAATCCATTTGTGTTACATAAATATCATTTGGCTATAGAGAACTGGTATTGTATATTTATATGGGGAGACAGAATTAAAAGGTCAATTGAATATAAGTTCAGAAAACATGGACAATCTTGTCAAGCATTTATACAAAAGAAGCTGCTTTGCTATGCTTGTTTGCCATTATGTATGATAATATTTGGTTTACTCTTATTTTTAATTCTATCTCCAGCGTAAAAAAATGATATAACTGTAGACAAACATACTGAGTGCAGTCAATGTAAAACTGAGTGCCCTGGATTAAGAGAGGGTAGATTCGAGTCATCATGATGTAGCAATGTCCAGATTTTATCATATGTTGTGATTTCAAAATTGAACTTTCATAATTTCTCTCTCTCTCTCTCTCTCTCTCAAATAGGTGTGGAGTCTGGAGACACAATCAGCATTCCAGAGGCTGGGAATAGTGGGGCACGAGGAAGTGAGGCAGGCTGGCTATACATTAAAATAAAGGCACAACTTACTCTATTTCTTTTATAGCATGTTCTAATAAAGTGTTGTGGAGGACTTAATCCTGTGCTTGCCCTTAATAAGAGGACAAGCTGGAATTGTGTCAAGCTTCTGGAATTTTATCACAGCATATGATTATTTGAACTTGATCCAATGAAGGCTTGCATTCAAGTGACTAATTGTATAGAAGCTAGTATGGTTGCGAATGTGTATCCTGATATGCCTTGTCAAATTCCCTTTCTCTTTGGTGTAGGTTGATGAAGATCCTATCTTTTCTAGAGATGGTGCAGATCTTTATGTGGACTCTAGTATTAGCTTTACACAAGTGAGAATGATTCCTTGGTTTGATATGCCTAACAGCCACCTTATTGATATACTTTCTTTTGGCAACTTCTGGTGCTTTCCTCTTAGTATCATATGATGTTATATTTTTGTCTTTTTTCTTTTCCAAATTTACTTTTATCATCCTCATTATTGTTTTCTTTTCTCTTTCTAAAAACTTAATACTATTTCTTTTGTCAACTTCCATGTTTGCTCTAACTATTTATTCGTGCCCAAAAAAAAAGGATAAGTATCTAATGCAGGTTATTTTCCAGTAGGCATTGAAGGCAATTTCGTTGTCCTATTGTCCCATTTAGATATAGTGTTTCTACAAGCGTTAAATATTACTTTTGACGCTGAAGTTTGAATATTTCAGGCTATTCTTGGTGGTACGGTTGAAGTACCAACTTTGTCTGGGAAGATAGAAGTAAAAGTAAGAGTTTTCTCTTTATTCTAACCTCCAGTATCTAAATAACTTGAAACTTTGTTGGCAATACTTTTCTGTGTAGCCACCAAATAAGTGAGCTTTGTTAGTTCTGTTAGGCAACTTGATACTTTATGAAGTACGTCCAACTACATGGCATGAGTTTGGGGTTTAGGGATCTTGAATTGGATACATTGGATGTGTACGATATGGTATAAAGCTGAGTATAAGATGCAGAGTAGCTCTGGAGTCTTCCCATCCTGCTGATATTTGAAAATAAAATTAAAAAATTATTAAGGTCAGGAATCTAATGTGTTGTATGTCAGTCTCAGCATGATTTTTAAGTTCTTTGTTTCTTCCGTGTGGGCATTATTGAATTTTAAATGAGGATTTATGTACTAAAACAAATACTAAAGAATGAGAGGTAAACCCAATATGCTATATGTTAAAAGAAACATATGTAGTTAAATTGGAAAACTGATCATTTATCCTTTGGCTAATCTTACAACCGCCCTGTTCCCACTATGATGGCGGTCATTGCGGCAACGTTCTTATTTGTTTAGGGGCAGATTATAGTGTGAATTAGGCTGAATATTTATTTTATGGATTCAAATATTGGTGTTTCCTATGAGACTGTATAGCTGACTTACCATATAGATTGGCTTCTTCTTGTGATTGGATTTCAGTTTTGCCGATTGATTACTTTTCTCTTTCAATTCTGCTTGTCTTCATATTTCTATCTGTTCCACTTTCTTCTTGATCCTACGAACTGACTCTTCCTTGTAATCATGGACCTGTTAGATACCAAAGGGGGTTCAGCCTGGCCAACATCTGGTACTAAGAGGCAAAGGTAACTAAATCATTCTTTTCAACTGCTGAAAATTTAGTACCTTTTTCTTCCTTGAAATTTGCTTAGCCAGTATATTGTTGCAGGACTGCCAAAACATGGTTTCCTAGTTAAGCATGGAGATCAATATGTGCGATTCCGTGTTAAATTTCCCACGTAAGCTGTCTTTATGATTTTGTATAACATATGTTTACGACTCAATATGACGACTTTTCCTTTTTTTGTTGTCTGCACATTGGTTTTTGGCACTGTTTGCAAACGTAATACATTTGTAATATGATTATTACTTGAGTCCTTTAGATCATACTTTGTTTTAATTGGTGTTTGTTTATACTTTTTTTTTCCCCTAAATAACTGTTTAGATTTATGAAAATACGCGTTTGCACTGATCAAGTAAAACTGAGCTACTTGCTGATTTACCCCTGTGCTCAAGTACCTAAGTTGAATTAAAATCAGCACCCACCTCTGCTTTGCTCTGTGAATGATTTGTGGTATTATCTGGCAGAGACTACTGACTAGCATACTCTTGGTTAAACTTGTAACTGGGCCACAGGCTTAAGGCATCACTGGAGCTCATACACAGTTCTTCTGTCAATTTCTTTTCCTGGTGTTGGCTGTTGTACGGCTTCTGGATTAATTTCTACTCAACTACATATATAATCTTTATAGACATTTAGAGGAAGTCCTTTTGTTGCATGATGAGTACAATGTAAGACTGATATGATGTTCTATATTACTGTAGTTTAACGAATTGTAGATCTGGGTTCAATGGTTTTTTGACGTTGCAGTTAGTTCTACGCTACTGAGCTATGAGAATGCTTTTATCTCATTCATCTTTTTTCTATAATAAGTGAACTCAACGAAAGGCAACGTGCTATATTAGAAGAATTTGCGAAGGAGGAAATTATTCATGGAGACAGTACTTCCAGTTCCAATGAAAGAGATTGGTAGGCCATTTACTCATAAAATGCTAGTTATATGATTCTTCCCCCCCCCAAGAAACATATATATTTTAAACAGTACTTAGTTGCTTTTGTAATGTGATAGTGTTTAAGCCATGGATTAGATTCTAGGGTAAGATACACGTATCACCCCTTTAGTTTCTTAACTGTTTTAAAGTTCCTGCTTTTCTAATATGAAGAAAATGTTAACCTCATGTCCTTAATTTGTGTCAGCCGAACCCTTTATTCATGTTTGTTAAATGTAACTGATGGAAGGCATTGTAAAATGCTCATCCTGTGAATTTTATGTTCAAAACAGCTTGGTGGAAGTCAAATGAGCATAAGATCAATTAGCTGAATTACCGATTATCGGTGAATCTTTGTCATTTTCTGATAGTGATGATTATCTTTAACTGGATAACAGGCTTTATCAGCAGCTATCTACTGGTTGAACTTACAGGTTTCAGAGAATCCTTGAACGTGTTTCGAAGCCTAGGTTTATGCTTGAACTCTCGATATTCATATTGATTCTTTTGTTGCTGAACAAATCCATGGGCTGAATGCTGGCCCCAGGCAATTTTGATCGAGATACATAGACTTTTCCATTCTTCCGAGTTCTGTTAATTAAAGGTACCAATCTTCTCATGACTAGTCAGCAAATTCCCCACCCTTTTATTACCGTCCATTTTAATCTGCTCAATTTGGTTGTATAGAAGTGAAACTTTTAAATGTCCAAGTTTGAAAATAATGATTGTCCAATTATTGGCTCAATGATTCTTTTCAAATCTTCACTCTGAAAATTTTCCTCTTAGTGATCAATTTTATTGTATACATAACATTTTTGTCATTGGTTAGTGGCTACATATAATGTAATTATGAAGCAAGATAAGGAGCTGTCGGGATTGGTAATAAGCATTTAAGATACTTTGGTTTTGAGATTGGTAGTAAGGTTTAGGCCATTTTTAACCATTTTGTTTTTGGTTTTTGGTTTTCACTTTTCGTTTTAGTGATAGAGGGGAAATACACGGGGGAAAGGAGGGATGAAGAGGAGTGGATAAAGGATGGTGGTAGAGATGTCAAAGAAATGTACAAGGAAAGACACACAGAATGAAAACTAAAAAGTATTTTGAGTAGTTTTGACTTCAATACTATGTTTTCACTCACTCTTCCCCTCTCTTCCATTACCCTTCTTTCCCCCATATACTTTCCTTATGTCTCAAGCAGAAAAAGTGAACCAAAAACTGCAAGCGAAATGGTTATCAAACGGGCACTTGGCTTAAAATTGGGTTTTGGAACCAGTCTCTCCTAAGCCAATGAGACTGAAAACATTTACTTAGATGGTATCATCAAGATGATTTATGCTTCTTGTTACAGCAATTCTATGCCTGTTATATGGTGTCATCATCTGTTGAAAGGCTTAGTATTTGTAGTCATTATTATCACTACTCGTGAAGCAGCATCCTCTGGCTGAAATGTCAGCCGCTTTCGCAGTGGTGTATTGGTTAATTGTTCTGTCAACGACTTGAAAATGTTATAAAAATGCTAGCTTCGACTTATTGTCATGTTCGTAGTGAAAGCTCACGGCCTGGTCGGTCTGGGCGAATATGAAAGAAATTAAGTTGATCGTTAACTTCCTTTTTTTTCTTTTTTGGCAGGATGAAAGTTCGTGCAGGTTAATTGGAGTTGGTGAGGATTTACATGAAGGAAATGCACATTGCAAATATTTTGGTGACCTATAATTTAAAAATAAGATGCTCTGTTTAAATGCTAACATTCGTTTGAGCAAGTTCGGACTGGTATATATGAGCCCTTGATGAAAAAGAGACATATGCCCATTGTATTATCTATTATATCCCTTTTTTCTTTTGATAAACCATCATATCTCATCTTTGACGGTTAATACTTGAACAATAGCAACAAACACTAATCTGAAAAATGAACGGTTTAAATCAAGAGATTGAATATTTCTTAACGCCGTATTGGTACATACTTATATATTATCAAGTGGAGGGGTTAATTTATGCTTCTTGTTATGCATGCTTGTTAGATATATTGAAATCTAGAAGTAATCCTTCAACTACTGCAGCTGGCTATTGATTGGAAAATAAAAAAATAAAAAAATAAAAAAATTGTCATCACTAATATTAATTAAGCAACTTAAATAAATCGAAGAATTTGGTAATGCCTAAAACAATTTGATAATTTGACCTTAGTCACACTAAGATTTGTTTTTCATAATTAATCAAGACATGTACACAAAACTAGAGCTTAGAAATTCTTTAACGCATAAAACGTTGCCTGATAATTTACAATTTATTTTCAACCAAAATATAAATACCAAGGGGAAATGATAATATGGGTGCTGCCGCCCAAACGGCAGTGGCGGCCTTCCCCCTCGTTCTTAAACTCCAACTAGGGTTTGTGACTGCTGAGTAGCTAGGGTTCCCTGTTGAGGAACTTGTATTGTTTCTGGTGTGTCTTTCTTTTTCTCTGCAATTTCGATTTCGATTTTCTTTTCCTTTTCCTTGTTGTGTTTTCTCTCACCATAGAAGTAAAAGATAAATCCCCAGAGAGAGAGTGCAAGAGAGACTCCCTTTTCTGCTTGGAATTTTTCATGGTAAAAAATAACTGCTAGGATCTGAGTTACGGGGATTAAAGAAGCAATCACAATTCCAGAAAGCAAAGATGAGGCGCAGAAGATGATTCCTATGGCTCCCAGAAAAAAACCTTGCCATAATATAGCACTAAATACCAGCACCACATAGTATCTGGTTTCCCCAAGATCGAATTTTCTTGCTTCTTTTGGAATAACCTGAAAAAGTTGTAAATAAATTACACTATTTACCAAAGAATATCCTTTTTATATACCAATGATTTCTACACAATCATCTAAATCACGAGAAGTAAATTACTAGAAATAAATTCTGATTTCTAACTTAAATGAGAAGCATGCGATTCTAACCAGCTTATCCAAGAAAGATTAATCTACCATAACGGAGAACAATAAATTACGTATATACAACAGTTAAAATTTTATCAAATGACTTAAACTGCGCTCATTTATCATTTTATTTATTTATTTTTGAAACACATCATGAGATTAAAATGTACAAAAACGGAAGTAAGATCTCATGTCCAACAAAAATCTTTTATATAATAATGATGAAATAATTAAAACTAACTTCTCAATTTTATGACATGGCTGATCCAGTTTATTGAAAATACATGGTATCTAGTGTACCAATACATATGAACAAAAAAAGTAGAATAAAGTCACTCATTAATTGATATTTGGTACAATAACTTTAGATTAATTCAAAGCATGAAGTAATCGAATTTTAGTAAACCTAGCTGAGGTATTTGTGGATTGGTAATTCCTCTTCAACTTTATTTTAGTCGATTACTCCAGAACATTTATATTTAACCAATTTCCCCACTTACGTTAAATTTTAGAATTTTACATCTGATTCTCTATCAATTTTGGTTACATGACAAATGTTTGAGAGACATAAAGTAATTTTATCCCTAATACGGACAACATATTGCTTTCTTCTTTTCCGCTAGCTGACTCCGTACATCTTTTGTTTGATTTAGGGGTGGTTTGGGAGTGAGGTGCTTAAAAAAAAAGCACCCATGAAAAAAAGCTGTGAGGGTTTTAGGTGTTTGGTAAACTAAAAAAAAAGGGCTTATTTTGGAAGCTGCTGTGAGAATAAGCTGAAATCAAAGGAAAATGCTGAAGCAGCTATTTGCAGCTTTGGAAAACTGGTTTTTTTTTCAACGGAGCTACAGTGCTCCTTTAATGAAAAGATCCACTATCAGACTGTTTTTTTTCCAAAAGTACTTTTACAAAAAAGTTTACCAAACACTCTGCTGATTTATTTCACAGCCGCTTATTCTCACAGCAGTTTTTTTTTCAAAGCATAGCAATACCAAACCAGCCCTTTGTCATTGGGCTCCAATTAGCAGTTGCAAAGTATTGGCTTTATGCCCAATTTACCAAAACAAAATGGCTTTATAGCCAAAATGGTCCATGAGATTTGCATAACACATTACTTTGGTCCCTGAGATTGAAAATCAATAGAAATGGTCATTGAGATTGTCCACCATCCATTATTTTAGTCATTCTGTTAAAAACTCCGTTAAGTGTCCCGGAGATGGTCCCTGAGATTATCCACCATCGAGAAAGGTACCATTCTCTTTGTCTCGTTGAGAAGTATGATTTTTGTTTTTGAATCACTCAATTTTGTTGATTATTGAAGAAGTTATGAACGTTTAAAGTTTACCCAGTTTCCGATGAGTTTTCCAGTTTTCCGCGGACCAGTCACCTTTCAGACTATTTTCCAGCCATCTACGGCAACCATTGGGCTTACAAATATGTATAATCCTGTTATACACTTTCCTATATTCATTTTGATATATTATGGGTCGAATTTGGTTAAGAAACGATTGAGTTATGAAATTTTGAAAATTATCCAAACTTTCGGCTAAGAGCTCCGGGACACTTAACAGAGTTTTTAACGAAAGGACCAAAATAATGGGTGGTGGACAAACTCAAGGACCATTTCAATGGATTTTCAATCTCAAGAACCAAAGCGATGTGTTATGCAAATCTCAGGGACCATTTTGGTTAAAAAGCCAAACAAAATTACCTTTTGCCCTAATACAATTGCCATGTGTTGTATGCTTGACAAAGATGGATGAAAAATTTCAAAATCTAACGTCAATGGGGAAATTGACCATTTATACAGAGAGGTAATCAGCTAAAACTAAAGTTTCAAGATTGACAATTATGTACAAGTTTGAGAGTCAAATCAACGAATTGGTCAATCTAGCTCAGCACTCCACTATAACATTCTGGCTCTTTAGTCCTTTTGTGAGGACTGACGACTGAGGATATACTCCAAAGGAAAAGGAAAAGGAAAACTTGTAGATTTTCTGAACTTATAAACTTGAAAGTTGGCTAGCAAAAGCTTCATTATCTCCTCACAATTCTAATGGCACCTTATAAATTTTTCGTACTTGTTCCACTTAATTAAGTAAAAAAATATACATGTAGGTCCTATTAACTCTTTTTGGCTATACCATTAAGTAAAAAATATCCTTTTTATTTATTATTAACGTTGTCATGATTTCATTGCTACGGTAAAGAACCTAGTTCGTTTATTATTGAATAACAAGTTATATGATTAGTCACTTAGGACTACAGTCTAGTGGTATTCCTATTCACTTGTAAGTGAAAAATCTTAGGTCCGATTCTCATCAAAAACGAATTTGAACCACATTATTGCTAGACCTCTCACCCACCCCGTTAGTGTAGATAATATCGTTTGTTGAAAAAAAAAAAACAAGTTATATGACTAAATTGATTTAGATTTAGCTAAGTTTTTGTAAAGATAACATTTAAAATGTGACTTAAAAATTAGATGGTTCTGTAATATTAACAAGCAAGAAAACACATTAACAATGAATTGAAATAGAATTTCCTATAAGGCTATAACTATGATTGGATGAAGATAACTAAGAAGAGGCCAAATACAGCTAACCTTGAAGTCGTTGTCGATAAGCATTCCCACAGTGCAAAAAAGAGTAGCAAACAAACACATAACCAATTGAACCTCTAGAACCAAAGCATATGTAATGGTCTGCTTGGCCTTCTTGTATGTCAACTCTATCAACGGCAACACAAATCCATACAAAGCAGCCGCCGCCACCGTCATAAAAAATCCGGCAATATACTCCTTATTCGATTCCCCCTCTGGACGATCAGAGCTGGTGTTCAACCCCAAAACAACCGCGCCAATAGTCAACAACACGATGGCGTTTATGGAGAATGAGGTGAACTTCTGCTTCACAAGAATAAAGGCAAAAAGGGCAGTGAAGGCTAAATGGCTAGCGAGGATTAGGGCTGACGTGGAGATCGGAAGTCGAGCAACGCCATAGGCGTAAAGGTAGTCGTCCAGACCGGTGAGGACGCCGATGACAGCGGAGGCTGTAAAGAGTGGGAGCTTCATGAAGAAGAGTTTTGTTGATGGGCCTTCAGTCTTGCGGCGGTAGCAATAAGCCATGGCTATGGGGATGAAGATGATTGGCCAGCCGCCGGTTTCGAGCCAGCTCGAAAGCCAGACACGCTTGCCTCCATGGATGAAGTAGAGGCGCATTACCAATGGACCTCCACATGTGCCTATGGATAGAAGTGCGCAGCTTATAATGAGGAGGACGTTTTTCATGGCAGCGTTACGTTTTTCAACATGATCGGTTTCCATTTGCATCTACGTGAGGACCTAGCACAGATGCTGAAATCTCAGTACCAGCCCGGTAATGAATATGTGTTTCTCTGTGATGTTAAGTGTTTTAGATAGGAGAGAGAAAGAAATGATCCGTCTGTGTGGTAGTGAAATAATGGAGCAATGGATAGTGACATACGAGAGTGTGAAGAAAGAAAGGGAGTCGAGCGATGCTTATGTCAAGGTATATAGCCCAATACGAGTCTATCAAGTCGGGTGAGAATATTGAATAGTCAATGACATACATATAACTTTAAGTTGTCTCATTGAAAATTGGTTTTCATGAGTGTAATTTTCTACTTACATCTAACTGTCAAAGTTAGAGACAGACTTTGTATTTGACTTGTTAATTTGTGATCATGGAAATTTGGACGTTTCTAATGCACACAACCCTCATTTTAAAATCTAGTGTTTCTATGGCTTATTTTTCTTTTTGTTTTAAGGTTGAGATAACCTCCTCTTCTTCTTCATCTTTTTTTTTTTTTTTATGGATGCTAACTACCTTTTCTTCTTATCTTTCCCTACTTGCCCTTCTCATTCATTTCTTGCCATATGGACTCCATTGTTATCACTTTAAACTCTATTATTAACGTGTTAAAATTTTAAATATTTAACTTCCAAGTATACCCCTAAAATCTAACAGCTCTCTTTCGCAACCCTAATTAATTTAGCCGATCCGCTTCTTCCCATCTCTTTTTTCTTCTTCTCTCCATGGCCCTTCCACTGATGGATTGCCAAAAAAATTGCAGAAAGTGAAACCAGTCTTGAAAAACTCATATTTTCCTTCTCAAAATCAAACAATCTACCCACTCGAATCACACTAATCAAACTACACTACTAAATTAAATAGTTTGCGCAACGAGGGAGATTTTGTTGCGCAAATCAATATTAGGTCGCATAAAAACTACGGCGACGGGAAAATTGTCACGCAAAGGTATTGAAAAAAGACATTGCGCAACGAACAATTTCAAACTCGTCGCGAAAAAAAAAATTTGCGCGACGCTTTACTATTCGTCGCGCTAAAGTTATATGAAGGTTTTCGTCGTATGAAATAAAAGGGTACAAGTGCGCTTTGTGACTAGTTCGTCTTGAAAAGTATGCGCGACGAAAAATGTAAGAGGCATGTGGTAATGCGCGACGAAGTTATAAGACACGCTTTATTTTGAGCGACAACTGGTCGACGTCGGGCAAGTGTAATTTTAATTAAAAAAAAAGAATAAAAGGAAAATTAAAAAAAAAAACATTTCATACTACTGACAAAAAAAAATAAAAAATTAATGAATAAAAAAACAATATTTATTTATAACATAAATAAAAATGTACGTACAAATATAAAGTTATAAAAGAAAGCGGGAACAAAACTATGAAAAAAAAGTGGAAAAATCTATAGTCATTTGAAGGATCTTGCTGTTGGTTGGGGATGAGGTCGAAGGTTGACGGGCCTGATTGCTGTGCTTGCTCGGTGTGGAAGGGTTGTGAGGGCGATGGTGCAGAAAAACTGGGGAAATGTATTTCGGAGGAACTAAGGGCTTGTACAAGCATTACATTTGAGACTTGTACGATGCCAGCTCACTCCTCAGGCCAACGATTTCTTGCGTCAAAGCCGTAACCTGGCCCTTTGACTGCGAGGATGACGAGGCTTTACTCCCGCCGCTTGGCATTTCCCATCCACCAACAATAAGTCCTTGGCTTCCGACCGAAAGTTTGGTCCAACGTCTCTATGAAGATGTGAAACCTTGCATCCTTAGGGGGATCCACAGACTCAATTGGAGTGTCCGAAGGAAGCTGGGAGGCAGACTCTTGAAGCACCGATTGACTCTTCTCCACCATAGTGGCCTGTGAAAAAAAAAAGGATTATTAATAGAAAACAATTTGAAATAATTAGTATAAATGTTGAATGCTTAAGAAATTACTTACATGAAGGGATTCGGTCAACTCATTCCCAAGTCATACATAAATGTCAGCAAAGATGTTGATCTCCAGAAATTTTGAACCTTCCTAAAATCGAAAAAGATAAGGAAAATGTTAGTAAGAAAAAAAAAATTATTAGCGACATTTAAAAATTAGAAATGAAAGATGTAATATATACCTTCCGTCGCGCCTCCATCCTATAGGAGAAAGGCCTCGAACTCAAATGGTGGAGAAGAGTCTTCTTCTCTAGATTTATCTTGTTCGCCTTCGCCTTCTTCTGTTATACAAAATAAACGTATTAGTTGTAATACTTAAAGAAAATTAAAAAATAATAATAAATATTTGTAAAAATTAAAAAAAGTAAAATGAAAGAAGTCGTAATTAAAAACGCACCACATAGCTCAGCTCCTGAAAATGACCGCAAAGCCAAAACCAACTATCTTGTCAGTCCTCCAACTCCTTTGGACAACCCTCCTCGAGAGCGACCTGCGGATCATCAAATTGTTGGAAACATTGGTGCATGTCACTCTTCCACTGCTTGTAGCGTTCGGAGAAGAGGCGATTGAGGTACGCAAACATGTCCTCGTCCATGTCCTCCAAATTGTAGTTTGTCTGCAATGTAACAAATATTTTGAAAGTATTAGTAATAAAAGACAACAATAAATATAAATATATAAATTTTACATGAAAAGCATTAAAAAGGCGACGCTTCTTATGGATAATTGGTTGCACACCGTGTTCTTCGTCTCATCTGGAATCGCCTTCCAAGACTTCCACTGCATAGGGCAAAAGGTCCGCACGACATGCCCAATGTTGTGGGCCAATGCACTATGCTGCTTCGCCGTTGGTGCTGCCCGATGTCGCTCATTGTATCCTATTGGGATACGACCGTTGGTCACCCGAGTGACCTTCGCCGTCTTCAATTGAAGACAAGGTCCCCGGGTGTTTTTCTTCGTTGCAAAGAGATGATAAAAAAATCATTAACCCAAAACTAATAACAAATCCTACCAAATTTTGGCATAACCTCCCCTATAATTAAAACATTTCCCAAAACCCTGAACATAACATAAACAATATACGTATCCAACACAATGATCACAACAGTTTAATAAAAGCTTCGGAACGATGACAACTTTTTTTATCCTTACATGACATAACTTAACAAATTGAACCTAAAATAACAAAACTGATCAGTTAACATTCGCATACATTTTCTTTCTCTATTTCTCTTGAAAGTTACTTATTGAGCATCACAACTACTTCTGTGGTTGAGGCCACTATTTCCTTTCTCCTAATTGGAACATACTAGGTGTAAAACCCTCCTCAAGTCAGATAGCAGAAATAAGATAGCTTAAAAGATGAAAATCAGGAAGTTCCCCGCCCCCCCCCCAATATTTGCCAAGGCAATCAACACAATATTTAAGAACAGCAAACAATTGGAGATGAGCAGTGAGAATAAAGCAGGGATGAGAGAAAGAGAGAGAGCAGCAGAAGCAGAGGGTTAAACCGAAAAGAAACTTCACAAACGAATGGAACAAATCAAGGATGATAGGCGCGTGGAGCGAATGGGTAAAATCGACTTTTCACTACAACAAACAGAAAACAACAAGGCATACAAAGCAAAAACAGAAGGGCAAAAACGTAAGACCACTGGTCATCCACAGTGCTCCAAAACTAAGTTTTTGTATATATGATTTCCAATTCGAGCGTTTTGAAATACCACAACAAACTTCTAAAAATGGCGACAACTGCCATCCAAGAAGGCCAATTTTCGAGCTTGTATACACAGGCTCGAAAACATTGGTGGCAACAGGCTTGGCAAAGAATTCTAAGCTGTCGTAGCAAACAATTCCATATAACCTCTTCCACATTGACATTTGTAAGACTCTGACAGTCACAACCGAAACTTCTACGACTCTAAAAAAATTGCTTCATGATAATTACCAAGGTTTTCATTTCCCAGTTAAACATTTTCGCCATTTCCTCAGCATCAAATCTCTTCCACAGCACTACCATTTCAATTCCGTGAGAAACCCATTTGAGTAACTAAGAAATGACACATAAATTAACAAAAAAATTGCAAAAACATAAAAATTAACAGACATGAATTACGAAATACACACAATTTTGATTTCTTGACAAAACCCATTTCTAAAAGCGAAGAAATTGCGAACAAAAAAAAAAAGAGAAAACAATGGAAACTTTTTAATCCTTACATGACATGACATAACAAATTGAACCTAAAATAACAAAACTGAGTTAACATGGGAATGAGGGAGTGAATTAGGATTGTATATCTGGCTGTGTACCCAAGGCATCGGTTGTGGATCCCGATGGTGACATCTGGTCCGTATTGCGAGGCCGCCGGTGAGTACATCGGGTGCTAATAGGCAACACCACAGAAGAAGTCGACGATGCCTGTGCCTATGGGACTGGAAGACCAACTGGGTCATCCGGATTGACCGGCCTATGGTCCATCTCTGCCGGAGCAGTGGCATCAGTAGTAGGTGTAGTCGACAAACTAGGTATAGCCGTTGGACTAGGTGTAGAAGTCATCGCCCTCCGGGTTCTAATGAGGTGTGACATCTACAAAATTGGAAATCAATTTGTTTCGTACACAAAGATTTAACTTACCGTACACATGCTAATAATTTGAACTTAAATTTAAAACGAAATTTAAAAACCCTAATTCTAAACCCAATTCAAGTTTGCCAGAAACAAAACTTAAAATTGATATACTATACACAAACTAATCAATTCAGATAGGATATAGACCCAACAATTATAACTTATAAGAAGAAACTAGCATAAAGGGCATCCTTACAAGTTTACTACCTAAAACCAAACAAATGTGAGGTGCCTTGGATATCCTTACTACCTTATGTTTAAATAAAGACCTCACAACAAACTAATAATGTGAGAGAGAGCATATCATTATTTACTAGTAAAATCCAGATTTGCTTATATCAAGTGGGTTCCCATATCTTTGAATAATAATAATAATGGAGTTCACAAACAGATTTCATTTGATTTAATGTGTTCCTATTGGTTTGTTATACCTAATCACCATGACATTGCCCTATTTGGCTGAAAACATATTTTACATATAAATTTCCCATTTTTTGTCCTTCTTGGTGAATTAAGTATAGCCAGACCCAGGAGAGAATCAATAATGACATTCCTAAAAATGTAACTTCAAAATTGGGAGGCCAAATTCAACAAGCAACGCAACCGTCTATCATATTAATAAGGCAACAACAAAGGCTAATACCCCATTATATATCAAGAAATTGTGGCATTCTACAATGCAAATCTCTAAAAAAGTATTCCACAAATGTACAGTGCAATTCAATTTTTTTTCTTTCAAACCTACAATAGAGAACACATCCTACAATACCTTAAATTCCAACATAAAAACCACAAACATAAATATATTTCATCTAATCGTAATAAAAGAGAATTAAAAAGGTGAATTATACGATATAAAGATAAATAAATAAAAGGATTGTTGCATATGGAAAAGTGTAAGTGCAATGTTGTGGATGAATAGAACACAAGAAATCATTAACAAATCCCTAATTTAAGAACCCTGTACTTAAATTAAAAAAACCCCTAATTTGAACCCTGTACTTGAAATTAAAAAACCCCTAATTTAATAACCCTAATCTAACCCCCAGTGAAGCAGCCTAAATCTAACCCCCAAATTAAGAAAACCTAATCTAACCTCACTGCCCAAAATCGTTCCCCTAATTTAAGACCTAAATCTAACCTCAATTAAGAACCCTAAAAACTCTAATTTAAGAACCTAAATGTAACCCGCAATTTACGAACCCTAAATCTAACTCGACTGCCCTAATTCTAACCCCCAATTTGAAAAAGAAAAAAAACCAAAAAAAACCTAATTTGAACCCCTTGGAGACGAAGTCGCGACGACCGGAGAGAGGGACAGAGAGACAAATGGAGATATAGAGGAAGGAGAGAAAGGGTATCGTGCAGGGAAAAAGGAAGAAGAGGGAAGTGAGGGAAAGAAGGAGAGTTGGGGTTAAAATATAGATCCTTGCGCGACAGAGCCTTTGTCTCGTAAGGTTAAAAATCGTTGCGCAAGTTTTTTAAAATGTATGCGAAAAAAGCGCCTTAATTGAAATTTTAGACACTTGCGCGACGAATACAATATTTCGTCGCGCAAATATACTTTGTGCGACAAAATATATGTATTTGTCGTGCAATATTCTCGCATAAATTTAAAATAACTGTTAAATCGTGATTTTTCGTTTCTAACCGTTGAAAAGTTTTGTCCCATTACTTAATCCCTAAATGTTTATTTTTTGCGATTTTTGGCGTATGTGATCTCGAACCATATACAAACAAGTTTGACAATTGAATCGTTTAAATTAGTTTCGTAGAATGCGTATCTCATCAAAAAGATAGATTCACTAACACTTAGAGTTTATTTATACTTTCATTAAGTATAACAAAAGATTTGTGGTATCCAGTAGTGTAAATAGTTTAAATTGAAGATCGAATTCATTCATTGTATTCATATAGGGTCAAGGAGTGTAGCTGTAAAAAATCATCAAAATCGGAGTTAAAATAACCGTTAAATCATGATTTTTCGTTTCTAACTATCAAAAAGTTTTGTCCTGTTACTTCATCTCTGAATGTTTGTTTTTTGTGATTTTTGGTTTATGCGATCTCAAACCATATACAAACAAGTTTGACGGTTGGATCTTTCAAATTAGTTTCGTAGAATGCGTATCCCATAAAAAAGATAGATTCACTAACACTTAGAGTTTATTTATACTTTCATTAAGTATAACAAAAGATTTTGTAGTATCCACTAGTATAAATAGTTTAAATTGAAGATCGAATTCATTCATGGTATTCATATAGGGTCAAGGAGTGTAGATGTAAAAAATCATCAAAATCAGAGTTAAAATAACCGTTAAATTGTGATTTTTCGTTCCTAACCGTTGAAAAGTTTTGTCCCGTTACTTCATCTCTGAATGTTCTTTTTTTTGCGATTTTTGGTTTATGTGATCTCGAACCATATACAATACATACATATATATATATATATATTTAATAAGTAGAGTTAAATTTATTTATTTTGTATGTATAAGTATAACACTTAAGAAGTTGAATGGTATGTATATTTAAGCTGATCCAATGGTCACCAATTTTTTAAATTAAATTTAATATATATATATATATAATTATTATAGTTTTTAGGGGTATAAAATTTTTAAATTAATATATATATTTATTATAG